AATACTTTGGGCAATATAGTGTATGTTTGGTGCGGTAGGGGGCCCAATCTCATATTCTTTCATAGGGCCCAAAATTGCTAGCGGCGCCCCTGACTGCAGTACATGTTCCACAGAAAGACTAGATCAGATCAAGTATTAAACATGATACTTATCTGTAAAGTCCAGATTAGGTGACCGAGGAGGTTGTTTTTGCATAGCCATGATGCTGATTTGCTATCTCTCCTCAGGACATCCAGCTTTCTTCAAAGAGTGTGATAGACAGCATGGAGACTGCCAAGAGTCAGCTGGAGTCCTTTACAAGCATGCTATCTCTGCTCCTTAAACAACTGGGTGAATTCATGATTTTAATTATTTTTTTTGATTAGTTTAGTTGTTTATTGCTTTGTATTATTTTGTTTTCAGCGTGCTTTATCTCTACAACCCTACATAGGACAAGCAGTTTGGAGAATGGATGTTTTGTGCTTTGCTTTGCTTATTTTTTTTTTTCATTTTTTGGGGGGACAAAAGTATTCCTTTCAACAATAATCTCAAAATCATACTCTTCTCCCATTGATGTGAGCAGATGCTAATGCGGTGCTGGAGAACTATGATCGCATCCTGAATGAGACGGCAGCCCGTCTTCGTGTTCTCCAGGGTGCTGTGGAGAGTCCATCTCTCACTGGAAAGATTCAGAGGCTCCACAGTGCTGCGCAAGATCAAGAGAAACAGCTGCAAAATCTTGAACAGAGCCTGCAGGAGATACGAGAAGAAAGAGACAGTCTGACAGACATCACCCAGAACTTGCCTAAAACATGCCCACAAAAAGGGCACTGAGCCGGGGGGAGGAAGAAGTCTATCAGTTGTCTAGTCTTTTGGAGAGACATTGAGGTAGCTCAAAGGAGTTAGTCACCTCAGAGAATCTGAATCCCCCTCTCCCTCTCAATTCCTCTTTCAGCTGTGTCCTGTTACAAAGCAATACTGAACATTTAAATGACACATTAAAATGTAAATTCTTTATAAACATTCATTTGTTGTGAATACAGAGTGGCTTTACTTATTTACTCTATTGGTAAAGAGTCAAAATGCAGGTGATGGCATTTATACACTGTAGCACTTTGAATTGAAATCATCAGTATTCAAGCAAAATGTCAGTGTGACTGGACTTCCAGAGATGATCACATTTACATTATGCTTGAATATTGATGTTTTGCAGACTGACATTATAAAGTTCGCTTGCAATGTAATATGCAATTTTCCCATCCATTAACCTTAACTAATGGGAGTTCCTGACAAGATATGGTCTCTTTTTGGCCACTTGGGGGTGCCATCTACTCAAATTAATCTGGTTGTTGTACACAATGTCCTGCACACGAGTTTGAAACTGAACATTTTTAAAAGTCAGTAAATCAAGACCAAATAAACATACTGTGTGTCATGCTGTTTTCAAGAGTGTGATCATGCATTATGAGCATCAGCGTGAGCCTGTTGACATGCAATGTATTATTTATTTAACATGGCATATGAAATATTTATTTCTGTGCTTATTATCCATCTGTTAATAAATTATAGTCACAAAAGGAATTGGCTATGAATAGTTGAAATTTTCCATTATTTGGAATATATTATCAACATGTCTGCATGGCCCATCGTTTTCTTGCTTTCAGTTTTGATGTATCATGGCTTATTGTATTAGCTGCTTCCTGTGAAAACTGAGCTTTTGATCTGTTATCTGAGCCACTGACTGAGCTTGTACCCTTTAATGTTCTTAACCCCATTGAACCCAAGACTAGAGACATGTTGCTTAATTTCAATACAAAGGGAAGCATTTGTCAAAAACGGACTACCAGATTGAACACTTCACACCATAACACACATCCATATTGCATCACACACACAAAACTACATTCATAACAATTGTCATATTTGTATAGATTATTAGTTATAGTTACAAAGCTATATGTTTAATGTTGATAGATCACTGACTATAGTATATAAAAGTTTTTAACACAAAATATAATAGGCTACTTAAAGCTGTTGAGAACCGCTATTAAAACAAATGCTGTAGAATCAAAGGCAAATCATTGGAAGCAACCATATTAAAACCTCCGTCTCTAATAAAACCCACACACATCAAATAAAACGTTATCAACTGCACAACAATAAAGCATGCAGCAGTAATTGCAGGAAATTAAATTCTTCTGACTTTCAGATCCAAAGTAGACATAAAAATAGATATAAGCTGAGATAAAAATTTAATGTGATGAACGATAAGATAAGAAAATTTAAAAAAAACTATAAATATGTATTCTAATAAGAGCGAAAAGGTTAAAAAAAAGTGCAATTTTCACAGCTGCACAAATCGGTATGCACTGTGAAATACAATATGAAATGTGCAAAACTAAATGAAGCATGCAGCCGTAATTACAGGAAGATACGTTTTAAGTTAAAAATTAAACGATGAGAAAGATAAGATAGGAGTGAAAGTTTAAAAAAACAGCTGTGCAATACAATATGTGCAAAACTGACTAAATAAAAAGTGCTATAACAGTTACTACATAGTGGAGCTGAGCACGGCTGGAACGCTGAAGACGTTTTATAGGCGTATATATGGCTAATAAAATTACAAATAGCTTTATACGTTGTATATATGCATAATGAAAGGACATTGGCTGGCAGAACACCGGAGTTTCCCCGTTGTCATTTGAGCCTGCATTACCTCTCTTCACCGCACGGTGGCGTTTATAGCTGTATTCCTGGCGAGCAGAGAGCGCATCACAGGGAGACCTGCGCCTGTAAGCAGCGTGAGATTCCCTCTCTCCCACAGACATTATCGACGCGAGCGAGCGCTCACACAACTCCACTGTCTCTCCGTTCTCTACCTACACCGCCAGCTCTCGACCGTCCCAGCATGCCTTCCAACCTGGATTTACAAGGTATATCTTTTGTCGCCGGTCTGTTTTGTGTGAATCGATGCTTTATCTAGCGGTATACGCACGGAACCTGTTTTTGTTCTATGCGCGCCGTTAGCGGCCGACTGTCCTTATCTCATGCCTGCAAGTGCACCAGACAGCCTGATAAAACATCCAGACGGGTGTGTAACGTGAAGGTCCCTATGTCTCATTTTTCAGGCGGGAAAGCCTTCGGGTTACTCAAAGCACAGCAGAGGGAGAAGCTGGAGGAAATCAATAAGGTAAATAAGCTAACGCCGTCGGATTATTATTGTCTCAATTGGGAGGCGAGATTAATTCATTGGCCTTGAACCGCCTCCATTCACCCTTGTGATGTTCCCACACGCTTTGTCTCTAAATATTAGTTTGGTTTTTAATTTACTTCGTTTCTTCTCTGTGGTCTCTTAGCTGTTAAATGCTATTTTGGGCAGCAGCGGAATTGTTAAGCTCGATTTTACAGCAGCATGGCCTAATTTAGTTAGACAGTTCGACCACATTAAGCCGCAGATCATTTCACAACCCAGAGCAGGGCTGTGTCTCAAAACCTGCTGAGCTGCCAAGGGTGGCAGGATTTTCTCCTTTTATTAAAGCTGCACGAAACTGTAAAAATGATTAAAATCACTATTGCGGTAGGCATTTGACCAGGTCTCGAGACGCAGCCCAGTTCATCCCGCGCATGAGTCATTCACTGCTGCGTTAAGCGCTCAAGGTTTCCCCCAAACACCCTCCCCGTTATCCATTGGTCGGACAAACAGATAGCCCCGCCCATAACTCGCGCCATTGGCTGAGCCAGTGTTAGTGTGTTTCGCGGGGCCAAGATTCTCAAACAATAATTTCGTTACCGCCACAGCATGCTTTCAGCATACTGGGTAGCCTACTATAAGCATATTAAACAAAGTATTAAAAAATGACATGCTTAACATTTAAGTAAGCGAGGTGACCTCATCTTGGGCGTTTCAAACAAACCCAGACCTTTTACGAAAATCCCAAGAGGCTTATTTTCATGAGCAGTGTTATTTTAAAGCTAATATTTAACCCCCCCCCAACGGGAAACAGGTGTCTGTGATCCGGCATGAATGGACCCATTATGTGGGAAGAAGATTGAGGAGTGGGCAGCAGTGGCATTTGAGCCGCTGTTCCCCCTCTCATGTGGACTGTGGCTGGCAGGAGTGACAGCTTGATGTGGTCACATGAACACTCAGAAAAAAATGAGAAAATCAGGTCATATGGCCTAGTAGTGTCAACTGCAGTGCTTACCTGCACATAGTGTAGAGGTGATTATCAGGAAAAGGGTCAATAAAATGTTCAAGAGCATAACACATTTCACATAACATGGTCAAATATATTCAGAGTAATGATTTTGAAGACAATTTTAGCTTGCAATTTTAGCTTAATTTTGACTCATTGTTTCGAGTTCTGATGTGAAGGAATGTTGATGTGTAGTCGTGACTTGACTGAGGTAGAAGGCGGTACTCGGGCTCTTCATCTCTCAGCATGACTCAAGAGGGCTGATCCTCACAGTGTAGTTTTCATCTTCTAATTCTAAAACCGTATCATGACTTGACCACAACTTGCTAATCTATCTTATTTTTACTCCCTCTCCAAGTATGTGTGGGTTAGAGAGAGAGGCAGAGACAAGAAGACGTCATGATGAGTCATAATTAACAGTTCAAGGTTGCTTTATGCTTCTCAGGCACCTATAGATCCACACACACAGGCTGTTTGCTTTTACAGCACATTCCTTCACTTAGTTAGCAGCATCTCCCACCAACCATATTTAAAATCCACTCACAAACACACCCACACACAGTGTGTGATCTCCCTGATACACACACATTCTAATACTTCGCTGATAGTGAAGTCTCATATCACACATGTGGATCTTTGATTTATGGGCCTTATGCAGAGTCTTGTCATAGATCATTAACAGAGATGTTAGAATTAACCGGCCTTTGTTGTGTTTGACATTTAATTATGCACTGCCCAGTTTTTCAATAACAGGACTTTGGGAGTGCTTTTTGTTTTGTTATTGCTGGCTACACTAGCGAACATCCTGCATTTTCTGACTGACACTAAAAGTCCGGTCACATTAGCAAAATTTCGTCAAAATTTCTTAGGCAAAAAAGGTCTGTTGTCAATAGAGTACACAGCTCACACATAAATCACTTTAAAACCAAGAAGATTTCTGTTGGTCAATTTGACAAATTCATGTTACCAACTAGGGCTGCACTATTAATCGAATGCGATTGTCATGCGCATTTTGTTAGTAAAGCCGGTTCTGTAATCAGCAGTAAATCATCATCACATGCTTTCAGATGGAGCAGCATTTACTACACAGAGCCGTAGTTCACTGACAAGTTACGCAAACAAATCGCAGACGATATTATTGCGCAATTATGAAATCGAAGAAATCGTTC